ATGAAGTAATTGTATATAATTCACATATTGCGTATAAAAACTGCATACAAAAGATTATATATAAACTGTATACAAAACTGAATAGAATGATGCATGAAGTAATTGTATATAATTCACATATTGCATATAAGAACTGCACACAAAAGTTTACATGTATATAAGCTGTATACAAAACTGAATAGAATGATGCATGAAACAATTGCATGCAATTCGCATATTGTTAAGTGTTAAAGAAAATGTATCAATTAACGCATGGAGAAGCCTGTTTACGAGATAACTCGCTAAGAGAATCTGGAATATTCCCACAGGGGGCCTCCCTCGGTCTTTATTTCTTTCGCGAATAAATTAAGAGGCAAGAACTGGCGTCGTTCGATCGCAACTGTAAGGGGGCCCGAGACTGTCCCCCAATTTTCTCGCGCACCTTTCCCCCGTTCCTTTTCTTTTTTTTTTTTTTTTTGTTCTAAACGCTAATCCCGCGCGTCGATGCACAGTTGCGCCCGCGCCGTTCTAACCTGTCCGCTACACTGGGAAACCCCTGGAAGAAAGCTCTCGCGCATGACTCCGGCTCCCGGGGCCTCGTCCGCTCGGAACATATGCATATCATCACCCTTTACGCCGGCTGGAGAAAAAACTCGGAAGAGGTCCGACCCAGAACGGCCAGGAAAAAAAAGACAAATACCTCCAAGGAATTCTTTGTCTCTTCCTCCTCTCCTCTGTTCCTTCATTCTTTCCCGTGGGTTCCCGTCGTTCTCTATCTGATCTCTTCCTTTCTCAGGCCGTTTTTGTCCCGCCGATAGACCCCTTTTTTCTGCGTCTTTATCAGTCCGCAACCTTGCGATCCACGCCGCTGAGGGAACAGAGGAGGGATCTGTGTCGCACGTGTTCCGAGTGCGGTGTCCTCTTCGTTTGGGATATGTCTTTCCGCGCTTCCTCGCCAATTAGCGTCTACAGCTCAATGTTTATATACAGATTACAATCGTGTCGTTATACGGACGCCAATTTATAATGGAACGTGGAGGTCATGGGACCTCTTACCTCTAGCCTAAACATTGTCTCCAAGTCGGTACGGTATCTTCTGCTCTTTCTGTCCAATTTGAACATTCTCTCAACGTTCTAAGCAATCTTTTTCATTCGGGGCGCGTTCGATTCTACAACAATTAGTTTCCAGCATTTTGAACGGGCGACTAGTACAAATATTAGCGGCGCACACGCAGCTGTGCTTATGTTCTAACGAGCTCTTTCATTCCTGTGTACCCCGGCCGTATCTCCAGCGTTAAAGGGATGCCTGAATGTAATCTGAATAGGGATCAAGAAGTTCCGCGATTCCCCCGTGGGTGGGTGCACTCGAATGCAGCATAATTTGAGTGACAAACCAAAACCAGACCACGAAGATGATTCGTAAGGACACGCGTGCCTTCCGTTCGACTGGAACATAGATTTTTTTTATTGAATTATTGTACAGTGACGAATGCTTCATTTCGATCGAAGAAGTGAAAAATAATTTGTTCACCAAAATCGACAGTGGGATTGAAAATTCTTGAAAGAATTCTTCCATTTTTAAACGAATTAAGTTTTCACTTTAGAGAAAAACTTTGTTCGTGTTTTTCGTAGGGCTCCGTGGGATCTGCAAGAGAAAAAAGTTTCAAACCGCAAAGTTCGTTATTGAAATAGCTACGAATTCTTGAAGATTGAACAATACAAAATTTTCAACAGCGTACCGATCTTCCAAGTCCACGAACCAATCTCTATCGCAATGGATTCGAATGCACAAGCGCAACCATTTCCAGCGTTAAAAGTGTCGCGTTTTCGTGGGAATCGTCCGTTCTATTCTTTTACATGATCCGATACGTTTTCCTAGAATTAGTATGCCAGAGGCAGCGGTCTATTCGTAACGGCGGAATAATTCGGGGCGCCATAAATTTGGCCTCGAACGCGAATAAAAACGGCCACTTGCTCGCTTCGGTGCTGTGCAACGCGACAAAAAAATGTTGACGTTTTTACGCCAAGTTCGCTGGATTCCCGCGCTTACTTAGAACTTATCGAGCCAAGAGTTTTTTTTAATCTCACCGTGACGGTCTCCTACATTCCCAAAGCCTTCCATTTATTTCACAATTACGTCTTCGTCGACGCATACGAGGCTCGGAATATATCAAAGGGTTATGTCTGCAGATATCGACGTTGTAGCTAGATCGGCAACGGTCGTATCAGGGCCGGCGTGATCTATTGCGGGGCCTGGTTCAACAATTTTGCGGGGACTGAATTCGCATTCAAATCCTACGCTTAAATGTTACAACGCGATATTATTTATTTACTATAATATTAAATAATAATACTACGATTCAACACGCCGCTCGTTTGTTCGATTTGCACCGAGATGACTCTGAGCGCCAAAGGGTTAATTTTCATGAACGCCAATTTCTAACGCGCTAATTTTCGATCTTAGTTGGCCCCGCTAGGTTTCGATACTCACAATGAGCGAAAATACTGAAAACGGGGCCAGAGGGGGGCAAAAGAAGCAGCCATTTACAGCGCGGACCAACTGGCGTCTGCGACGAGATGTCCTCTCTCTGGCAATTTCAACTTTCGGAGAAACGTTCGAGCAAAACCGAGAGTAGTTTTTATCGTTAGTCTGCACTGGTCAACTCTACGCTTATACGGTTACCGCCGATGGCTGTTTGCCGTCGTAAGAAATCGACAAAAACGTTTCTCGCAATAGTTGCTCACCGATGGCGGAAGAAAAAGCGCCTTTTTCTACGCCGCGGCGCGACGCTTTTTGCCACCATTCTCTGTGACTCATGCCTCCACCTACGTATCACAGAGTAGACAAAGTGCATCTACTATGTACATACGTACACACTGGCTCCTCTATATTTCTGGGTCCCGGGTTCTCTGTACGAGTGTACTTTTTCGTCTAAACGCGAATTCTATTAAATTTTATTCTCCCCTCCCCTCTACATTCAAGTAGGATACTGCCATAACGTCGTTTCGTTAAATAATTCCACTTTCTTCCACGTGGTGGCACGTACATCTTATTACCATATTCTTAACATAGATAACCGTCTCTTCGCGACGGTTATCGGTTGAGAAATGTCAAACTGAATGGTTTTCGTTAGATGTCTACAGATAGAATCTAAAGGTAGTAACGAAATCGCGTTTATGGAATTTTTACGCTTAGAAAAACGAAAGAGACTCGTTGCTTGCGTAGATATTCCGAATGTTGGGTTTTGGGGTGGATTTAACAGTATATCAAAAATTAACTCTGCGCCTTTGCATTCAATCATTCGTAACTCTAACTAGATTTATTTTTTAAAGAGTCCAAGCCCTCAACCTGGTAGCTTACAATTATTAACCGACTTCGAAAAGGATGAGGTTACTCGATTCGACATGTACAGGGTGTCCCAAAAATGATGGAGGTCCTTGAAAGGAGTGGTTCGGGAGGTGATTTGAAACAACTTTTTCCTTTGCAAAAATGTCGGATGGTGCTTCGTTACGTAGATATTAATAAAATCGCGGCCGCTCAGCCGCTCAGCGCGTAGCCTTCGCTACCGCGGCCGCTCCAACAGTATCCGCGCGCTCTGATTGGTCAGTGTTTTCCGTTAATATCTCCTCAACGAAGCCTCGGACAACAATTTCGCTAAGGAAAAAGTTGTTTTAAATCACCCCCTGAACCATCCTTTTCAAGGACCTCCAACATTTTTGGGACACCCTGTATACATATGTACTTTTTTGTTTTTTAAATGTTTTCTAACGATCGAGTACACTAGTAGCCAAATGGCCATCGGGCTAACACTCGAGTCATCTATCTCGTTACGAATGATCGACGAGAAAGGAATAAAATCCAGAGAAATACGAAGAAAGGGAAGATGCGAGACTCACGCGTGCCGTTGACGTTTCTGCTGAGTATCTTCGGTACGGAGGCGGTGACAGTGGTGACAGCGGACACGGTGGGGATGGCGGGAACAGAGGACAGCACGACAGGGGATTGTTGATGCTTGGTCGGCGTACTCGCGACGACCACCACTGGATTCTGAATGGTACAAGTGGCCGAGGTAAGAGCGCCGGTACCGCCAACGCCTGGAACCGCGTTGATAGGCGCCGCTGGTACTGGAGAGGGTGTCCCGATGGCACACGTTGTCGTCGCCGCCACTGTCGTCTCTTCCGTTCCTGGTCCACCGAGCACGCGACTTTCCATCTTCGAGGGGACGACACTGTGAAGCTACCGTCCTCGTGGACACTCACAGCACACCGAAAAATCCATGCGTTTAACAATTCGACCGCACATTCGACGCCCGTTTATCGATAAAGGTACAAGCGGCTCGATATTGTTCGCCACGGATCGTTGGTTAGACAGCATTACTTTGACATTGCGGATAGTTACGTTAAACCGGTACGAACGATTGTAGATGAAAAGAAAGAAAAGATGTTTACTATTTATTTAGTTTAAACGAGATCCGAAAAAAAAACGAGGGAAAAGCAAAACGATAAGAATTAATGATTTACGCGTGTACGCGTTGGAGAAGACAACCACACTTGGATCGTATTTATGTACAAATGTAATCGCGCGTAGGAAATATTGCTCTACGATTTTGTTATGTATCATAACTTTGAACGACACCGAGACACTCGGAACGATGTTGCCGGGTGCGTTGCCGGCCATCGAATGAGTGATTCCATTCCGCTGCGCGTTGTCCCCTCTCCCGGACCACACAACGTGCGGAGCTTCCCTCACCACTTCCCCCAATCGCGTGCAGTTATCCCCTCCCTTCGGACGGCTACCCCCACTTCGAGCATCGGGGCGATAACTAACGATGGGCATTACCGCGAACGTAAATGTTCGTTCGAATTCCAAATTACGATAATTAATAAACGCTGCAATTCTTACTTGTACGATTATTCCTCGACTCATCCTCTGGTACAATTCAGGCCTTTATAGGTGAAATGAACGTCGCGTTGGCGTATTTCTATGCGTTTTTTTTCATTTTTTATTTCACGTTCGTTCTCGTCACTTTTGGCTTTTGTCGTGGGTCATGGCGCCCTGGATATGTTCGTTTATTAATAAACGAATACATACAAGTACATACGAATACATACATAACGACTCGAATTTAAGGTACACGAATACGTACATGGTAGACGTGCACGTAAAATGTACAAGTCCCTCTTTAGCCCTCGATGCAAAAACCGTGCTTCGATCCCTACCACCTTCGCGATCTCTGAGAACAAGTGATGGTAAGGGAGAGAGAAAAAAGTAGCCGTGTAAAAAGCTATCTTTCCTCCCCTCGTTGCATGCACCACCTAGAGGGAACGTACGACCTTTTTGCCCCACCATGGTAAGATTTTTGCAGGTTACTGCTCAACCTTGTTCAGCCTTTGGATTATCCGACAAGTTTCTCATCCTTCTTCGAACGATTCTCTCTCTTCCATTCGAAAAAAGCTAAGTGGAGAAACAGCAGAAAAAATGTAACGTCACTCGCAATAAAATATTATTTGGAAAGGAAGCTGCATATCTAGTAAGTGGAATTCGAATTTTTGCAATTTACCATAGTGGTCGATGATTATTCTTTTTTTTGTTCTCCCATGGTATCGCAGCTGACCGTACCTTGTTATCTACCCATTGCTGTTCAAGTCCAAGTAAACGATAAGTTCTACTTGCGCTTAATAAATAGCAACGCGAATGATGGACAAAAAAGTCCACAGCTGAAGTGGCGATATGATTCCCTGTCGTATGCAAATTTCCGAAGCCTGAGAAATAATACGGAAAGGGTTCGAGCAGACGGTGGACAGTTTTTTTTCTGGACAGAGCCTTCCTCCGACCGTGGGGTGATAACAAAAAATGCCGAGGTACAGGCTCCCTCAGCGATGAAACGCGTGAGAGTTTCTCAAGGTGCGACGCATTCTGTCTGTGGTTAATTTAAATCCACTATCAAGCTTAAGTTTAAATTATTATAAAATACAATAAATGTCGGATGTTCTCTACGTGAATTGCGAGCCAAACGGTTATATTTTTAGTTGAAGATACAAATAGTATATTCATTGTTTATTTTAAGAAATTGTTTATACACACACTAATCTTTTGATTTGGTTGACGAGATTAAAAAACTACAGAAATTTTTTCTTTTACGTATAATTTTTCGCTTGTACAATAATTATACATACATATAATTATTGTTTTGTAAAATCAAAATATTAGATCTACGATTGTTTGAAAAGTTTATAAAAAAAAAATGCATTAAATATCGGCAATATTTATGGAATACCTATGTCACGTTCTTAACGCTATAATTAATTAATACATCGTTCTCGAACGAGAATGTTCATATGTCGTTACATATATAGTTCGATATACATATACGTAATTCGTTATTAGTCGTTCATAAACTATTTATAAACACATATCGGTGGGCATACGTAAATCGTTTTCGGAAAAGTTAATATAACGCTAGATTAAAAATACTGAATTTAAAATAAATATCAAATTTCAGGCAAACTAGGAACTCGTAATCATTCTGTTAAAATTACTATAACGTTTAACTTTTTGAAACGTTCGCGTACTGTATGCTTTCATTTTATAAAATATTATATAATACAAAAAATCGATTTATATTGTAACATTACGATAACGGTAAGGAAAGCACTTTTGTGGTAAACATGCGAATAAACGGAAGTAATCTAGAATTATACACAACCATATTGACACTACACGCGGAACTGCATTTCATTCTTCATCCTATAAGAATTTTCTCGATTATTTCTTACACACAACCATATTCATACCATACTGGACTGCCCGCTTTCGGATCTTTCTCCATAGGATCTTTTTCCATAATTGTTTCCGCTTGTTCTACGTCTTTCATTCCACTATTGCTAATATTCTTTGACTCGTTTATAACCGCTGATACTTTATTATATATAAGAACCGGACGAGGCTCTACTTGTACTTCTGGTCTTGGAGTTTGCTCCATTAACACTGAACGTCTATCGTCCCCCTCTTCCTGCAACGATTCGCTCTTCTGAGAACGTGCAAAGATCGAGTGAAATAGGAAAACACTGAAATAAATAGAATTGTGGAGTAGAAAGTGTTACTTACTGGCAAGGTAGCTGGCGGTGGTGGGGAATCATCGGTATAATACACTGTCCTTCTAGTTCCTGGGTGACCAAGAGACAAGGCGTCGGATCCGAGGTCTCTGCTAGCTGATCCTTAAAAAGAATAACGATGTAATGATGCAACGATGCTGTTCTTTTATTTATGATTTGTAAAATAGTAACAGTTCAGATTAGTTACCTGCTAGACGGTCCTCTGTACTAGCATCCGAATCGTTTCCTCCAGATTCCGATTCGTATGTCTTTCCTTCGGAATGTTTCGAGTCCTCAGCCCAAGATCGTCGATTCTAATTCACACGAATGAAAATATTAAGTTTACAAACTTTACTATAATTAATAGGTGTTCGTTAATTTATTTACCTTATTCAGAAGTTCCGATCCAGCTTTTCTGACTCTCCTCACTAAATTGGCACCAAATCCTTTCCTTCAAAAAGTATGACAATTGAAAACATTAAACATTAAGTAGATTAAAAGACTATGTATATACGAGCGAAGAACACTTACTTCTTGGGAGTACAGCTTTCTAGTTTCCTGTAATGTTCCATAATTTTATCTTCTAATTTTTCTTTCTGTCTACACAAATGATTCATCCTATCCCTGTAATAAAATACTAATTTAAGTAAGCAGTATTTCAAATGTCGCTAAATATTTATTTTTGGAGTACTAACGTGTACATCTTCTCTTCCATATGATACTGTTCCTTGTCTTCCAGAGAACGAGTCAAAAGTTCGTGGTATTGGGTGAACAATAAACTAATGTGATCCATCAACGAATGCCTGTCGTTGTCCAACCCAGAATTCACGTGAAGCAACATCTGAAAGAAAAGCGTGAAATAAGAAAACATGTTATTAAAAGCATCGACGGGGAATTAAACAAAAATTGATAGGTACTTCGCATCGTTGATTCAGTTTGTTAATTTGAAGTTCCAAGTTCGAAGATCTTTCGTCTTTGCTGCTGAGTTCACCTTGCATTTCCGTCAGCTTGAGACTCAGTCGGTTCGTTTCGAGTTTATTTTTTCTGTAATCTTCTTGCAAATTTCTGTACTCCATCTTTAACTTCTCTGTGGCGGTGTACAAGTTTCGAAAGTCGTCCTAAAAGTATCGTACAAATAAATGTGTGTGTATATTTTATTTATATATAGTTTATTTATATATCTCCCTTTTAGTACCTTCAATTTCGAATGCTCTCCTCTTAAATTATTTAAGCTTTTCGCGTTATTCACCAACGATTCCTTCTCCGTTTGCAACGTCTTGTTCTTCCCTTTCAATCCCTCGTAAGATTCACGTAACATTCTAATTTCGTTCTTCACGTCTCTTAGACTCGATTTGAGAGTGTCGTGTTCGTGGAATAAACTCTCGTACTCGTTATTCAATTGTTCGTGCAACGACTGCAGAGTGTCTTGATCGTGAAGTAGCTGCGTGTGCGTTTGCTGCTGAGCGCTGCGTTCTTTCAACAGCTACATTAACAAGTTTAGCGAACGATATTAGAATAGATAGATTCGATCCTTAGGTTTTGTCGATCCGATACTTACTTCTTCTTTCTCAGCGACAAGTTGCGAGTTTGCAAGCTGCAGAGCAGTGTGCTGAGCCGCCAAGGAATTATTTTGAGATTGTAACGTTGTAATCTGTACTTGAAGCTTCGCGTTTTCTGATAGGAGATTCTCCGACGCGGTTTGCGTGGCAGTTAATTTTAATTGCAGGTGCTCTTGTTCCTTCTGGAGAGAGGAGAATAAGTATGAATGCTTCTTTTTATACTTCAAATATTTTGTTCCTAAGAAATAATGATTCGAGGATGATAATACCTTGAGTGATTCTACCGTGGCCTCCAATGTGCTATGGATATTGGTAGTTTCGTTGTTTTCAGAATTTTTAGATTCAGATATCGATTTTTCGCAATGGCACGAGTTGTTTATTTTCTTGACATAGTCCAAAACTTCTGGTATTTGGGCAATCCTGTAATTATCGAACGACATCGATTAATTTATAGAACTTGTTAATCTTGTTTGTATACAAAGTTTCAAAATTTCGTTACTTTTCCAGAATATCATCCATTGGAAGCGATAACAACGTATTATCGCCGAGTCCAAGTTTCTCGAGGACCGTGTATAGTTGCTGAGTACTCAATTTTTCAGCTACCAAGCTACTCTGCAAAATCTCCAATGTTTCTCGATCGATAGCCGCCCGTGAGTCCAATTCTTTGCTAGATCTTTCGATTTCCTGCAATCTATCGAAATAAATAATTGTGCAATGAAAATTCTTATGACTGATGTATATATGGTACGTGATTGAAGGAGATGATACCTTGAAATTTGTGTAACAGAATCGTGAAGTTCTTGTTCGAGTTGAGTTACTTTCCTCTCTAAAACTTCGATGCTGTTCATTGCTTTGTCCAATGCAACATCTTTTTCCTGAAATTTAATATATTATAGTAGCATTTATAACTATAAATAATCCTGTTATATTATTTATAAAGTTCGTACTTCTATCGTCACGCGATATCGATGAATATCGCGTTGCGCTATATCTTTCTCTTTCTCTGCCGTTATAAGTTTCGTCTCGAGATCGAGACATTTCGAGTTAACTTCTTTTATATTATTCTCCACAATTTTTAATTCCTCGACCTTCTGATTGGCGAGTTCCAAAGAACGTTCCAAGTCATCAGCTCGCCTTTGCACGCTTTCCAACAAAGATTGAACTCGTTGTTTCTCCTTCACAGCTGTGTCGTAACTCTTTTCTAGTTCTATCATCTTAGTATGCTGAATCTAAACATGGATAAACGCAAAGAAAGAAATGTGTTACACATTTGAACAACGTGAAAACTTAAGGATAACATAAAAAACATTCGTGATATACTTGAAATTCTTGTTGCTGTTTCTCAGACGACGTTCTTTGATTTTTCAACGAGTTTTGTAGCTTCTTGTTCTCCTCGAGCGCCTGCTTCCATACCAATTCTAGATCTGAATTTTGTTGCGTGAGCCTTTCGGTATTGTCGTTTAACGATTCAATTTTCAATGACAGTTTCTTTTTCTCTTTGTCAAGTTCCAACACGCGTGACGAGATCTCGTGAAACGAGTTCTCTTTTAAAGAGTCTATCAAAGTAAGCAGTCGACGATTTTCTAACTCTAGCTTCAGTGCTCGCGTTTGAGCGTTGTTCGTCAATTGTTCGGACAATCTGTTATCGGTGTGCGCTAAATAAAATTAAAATTTTCATTAAATATAGCGATAAGAGATATAGCGTGAAGAGGATTCGTATCGAAAAAAAACCATATTATTACCTGGTTCGTCGGTATCGCTTACAGAGTCTGCTAACGCAGCCTCGTTTGCGGTTGCTTTTGTTAATTTATGTAACTGAATATTTTCTTCGACGAGTTCTTGGTATTTTTCTTTGTCCGCTGCACGCTCCTAAACAATTTACGTTTGGTCAGAAAAATAATCGAAATATCTATACATATTTTCAGCTATGTACGTACCAATGCCATGTCGTTTAATAACTGTTTATACTTAATAATTTCAGACTCGAGCTCCAACACTTTGTCTGCTCTTCTTCGCGATGAATTCAACTGATCCTCGAGCATTTCCCTAGTCTCCATTAAGACTCTGAAACGCGTGGGTAAAAAGAGTTCAATTAAATCTTGTTTCGAAAGATAAATACACAATTAATTATGCTAAGTACCTGTTATCTTCGCGTAGCTCTGCTATTCGAGTCTTGTAAAATTCTATATCCGTAAGTTTCTCTCTGTATCTTACTACCTCCAGTTCTAATCGATCAGCACGATCTGCTCTCTCGATTACAGCGTCTAGTTCGTCTCTGTAAGATTTTGCTGTACGCGCTTCGTGCATTAAATCCTGATTCTAAAACGATTAAAATAATTGTACAAGAATGTTCGATATCTCAAGATTTATTAAGAGCACGTATTTATTTAGCACGATACCTCTTGCTTCAGTTTAGTCACTAACATTTTATGGTACTCGAGTTCTTCTTTACATTCTAACAATGCTTCAGCCTTTTCCTCCCTGTAAACAATTCACGAAATGAAAATAAAATTCTGTCGAAATGCTCAAGAACTATATACATACAATTCTTGACGTTGCTTCCTAACTTTGGATTTCCAATCAGCCAATTCGACTGCATAATGATGATTATCTTCACGTTCTGATTTAATAATGGGATTAGATAATTGAACTTTATTCATTTCTTCCGTTTCTACACTGATGGATGAATCATTCCTCTCGACGCTTTCGTTTATAGCAGTGTCTCTCCATCTCTATTATCCAAATAATATTTTATATTAACTATATATATATTTTATACATTAAATATACGAGACATACCTGACGATACAGATCTAATTCTTGAGTTAACTTCTTAATTTGTATAAATAAACTACCCATATTTGCATTTTCCATTGCATCTTGAGTAATAACTATATCCTGATAATCTGTAACCTAATAACAATATGAAATATGTTAAATTAAATTATCATAAGTCTATGTAACTATATAACTATGCAAGAATTCAAGAACACGTACTTGTTTAATACATTCTACTATCGCGAGCTGCGTGTCAACATTCAATGTTTTTATTTTTGTAATGAATTTTTCTTTATTAGGACACTGCACTGCACAGCCAAGAAGCAAAAGCAGTAATAATTTCATCTCTGCTACGTAAAGCTCTGGTTCTTTGCCTAAATGCATTGTATCTGGTAACTTTAAAACTAAATGACCTAATTCTTCTTCGTACAACTGTTTCATATTATCTACTATGACTTTCAAATTTTTTGCACGAATTAACGAACTCCCTTCAGGAGATATTATTTCGTTGTGCAACGGTTCTGGATCTCTGTAAATACAAAACATGTAAGATAACATTATGGTAATCTTGATAAACTTTTCAATAATTCAGTAAAAATACTTACATTTGCAGAAATACATTGTGTAACAATATACCATCCACCAAATCATCGTAACTAGTTAATAAATTGGAATCTTCCAGGCAACTGGCAAACTATTACACAAGTTTTAAATATGTTTACATTACATACAGTTGCAGCTTAAATAGTTGTAAAATATAGAAAATAGAAAACTCACCCAAGTCACCAATGGACCGGACAATAAATCATCGATCTCGGCGGACGACATTGTAATCTTTATCTTTACACTAATTATCCGAACACTATTTAAGAAATAACTTTACCATATCTTTTTGCAAAGAAATTATGTACAGTTGAATAAATGCCCTCTTTATTCATGTTCTTCTGAACATTGATACAACGACAGAAAGTTCATTGTACGTTACTTATTTGTAAAATTGATTCAGGTAGAATGGCAAACTAAATTTAGAGGTCGCATTTCTATGACAAGCTTAAAAAACTTAAGCTTCACGAACAAAATAAAATTTTGTTAAAATGTCAAGAAAATTTAACCAAACTTTCAGCCGAAACGCAATCATAGGTACACGATTAATTGTACATGTAAATACTTAACTTAAAAGACTCTGTCAACTTATACTAATACGATAACGATTAAATCCATGATTACTTCGTAATCGTTTAATATCTCAATAATATTACCATGTTTATCTATCTTTTGATGGTTATTCGACGAATATATTTCAAATATATATTATACTGTATATGAAATAATAAAAGCGAACATAACCGTGAAATCTCGAATCAGTATTCGATGTATGATAATCTACTGTTTAAACTTTGGAAAAAGTATTTCATGGATGTATATGTATTATCAGTGCGCGATAAGATACGGAAGATATCGTACAATTTTTCTAAACACTTTAGAGCGAGAAACGGAAAAAGTAAAACGATCGAAAGTAGATGTCGAATAGTATAAACCAGTATAAACAAAACCAACATCTAGCAAAGCAAAATTTCAGGAGCATGTATAATATGCATATATAATAGAAATGGAGTTTATGTAAGCGACAACAAAAAACGTAACTCGTTTCACAGCGCAATCTAACGTTTCGTTACAAGAATCACGACGCGACATGTTTCTAAGTAACAAGATGGCGGACGAAACATGAAGTTCTCTGCGTATGCCGAGTCTGAGGATTGCCATTGGCTGTTCCGTTCTCGAACGTCATTAGTTCCCAATGGCGCTCGATGCAAACGTGGTCTTCCGTAACGAAACATTCTTATCGTTCATTGTACATTTATTTTTAATAGTGTAATAATTGTAATAATATAATGCCGAATGAAACTCGAATTTTGAAGAAACACGATTCAATTTCTACTTGTTTTAGTTATCTAAATAATTAATGTTAAGCAACAGTGTCGCCTCTATATTAGTTTCTTTCTATTACTTCAGGCCCTAGACTAGACCAAGAGAGTAATTCTCGTAGCGTCTATCAGTATCTACCTAATCTATGGTCCAGGTGGATACCATTCTATTTCATTCTATTCGATTCAACCGGCGATTTCGCTCGAGAGAGCCATCAGTAGTTATGGATTCAACTTGTCAAAATTCCGATTTCAATGTTAAATACTTGCTTGGCCAGTTGAATACTGCCAGAAAAGAAATTAATAACTTGAGGTATTATTTGTTTCTTTTCATTGCGCCATGTCTTTGTAAATTCGAAGAAGTATTTGAAAAGGTATCAACAAGTTCCATTCAAACGTGCTGTTTTCTATGCACCTGCATACTCTTGGTGTGGCCATGTATCCGTACACACATACACGAGAATGTGCAATGTCACACCTGTGAACGAAAATGAATATCGTAAGATGAAACGTCACTTGACATCTGTTAATACCTGTTGAAATTCCTCAAAATATTATATATGTTTTATATAATATTTCAAAATTACTGTGAAAGTTAATTTGCATATATAGTTGAATGGTATTTACCTTATTGTTACTCTTTGGTGTTTACAGACAACAAATAAAAACTCTTCGTTACATACATGAGAAGGATGTCAATACAATAAAGCATCTCTTGGAATCGTACAGAAAGGGAGCATCTATATCCGAAGCAAAAGTCATATCCGATGATGTGAAACCTAGCACTAGTGCAGACGACGATACAGTGAAATTAAAACCAATTGGGGTAGTATCTACTTGGTTTCCATGTAAACGTGGTACTCCCAGACAGCCTGGAATTTGCGCAAAGGTACCGGGAAAGTTATTGCTATACAACTCTATATATACCAATCCAGATCACGCACTGGAAGGATTACAAGATTTTTCGCACATGTGGTAAGACACTAGAGACACTTTCTATCAGATTGCAGCAGTATACCGATTAATTTGTATTAGGAACTTGTGTTTCATTCCATCTCTATTTCGATAGGGTCTTGTTCTACTTTCACAAAAACGATGCGACGCATGTTCGTGCAAAGGTTGCACCACCAAGATTAAATGGTACAAAAACTGGAGTGTTCTCTACCCGATCTCCTCACCGTCCCTGTCCCATTGGTCTAAGTTTAGTAAAGATTACAAGAATAGAGAACCATGCCATTTACTTTGAAGGTGTGGATATGGTGGATCAATCGCCCGTATTAGATATAAAACCTTATATACCACAGTACGACAGTCCGATAGGTTTTGAGAAGTTAAATAACAGGTCACACGAATCTGACGTGGATAATACGTTCGTATGTATAGAAGAAAATACCGATTTAAGCCGAAATCAAACCTGTGGTACCTTCGACGCTAACATCAATTTTGGCGACGAGACGGGAGGTTTACTTTCAGATTCTTATTATAGAAAAAATACCAACGAAATGAGTCAAGAGGCAGATATTTCAGGAGACGAAGAAATTGCTTTAAGATTGCAAGCGGAGGAGTTTCAGAGGAGCTCGAATTTTGAAAATTACAACAGCGCGAGACACTTTTCCGAATTGACCGATATAAACGTACACAATAACAGCACGTTTCAACATAGCGTGGACGTAACTGGAATACATCGAGCATTCTACGCGTTTTCCGATACTTCGTCCGATGCTAGGTCTAACTTGAGCATATCCACGGGACATAACGCGCTTTCTGTTAATATGGAGCAACAATCGGAAAGTTTAGTAGACGTAAGCAATAGATTACAAAATACCAACATAGGCGGTCCTACTAGCGTCGAGCCATTGTATACGTCGAGAACTATGGTGTCTAATTACATAGAGGCACACGCTTCTCGCTCCAGGCTCTTAGACGGAGCGGATGGACCAAGTACAGTATGTGGTACCGATTTAGATTTAATTCAAAGACGTTCGTTAAACGCGAGAGTTGACAACTCACCGATAAGAATGGGAATTCGCGAGGCTCCCGACGGAGAGGAAGGTCTGGAATCGCAAACGCTTGCTCCGTCGCAAGCCTTGCCCAACGTCGAAGCGGCAAGGCCTGCATCGAACACCAACGCGGATACGAATTCGACGCTGTCTTCGGAATCGCGAAACTTTGAAAATAGGGAAGAAGCTAATTCAGAAGTTCGAGTTCCAGAATGGATATCGAGACCTCGAACTCCCCTGTGCGTGATATTCAACGATCGAGCGCTTATTCAATTAAACGAAATATTAGGTACTAAGATCAACGACCAAAAGGTAGCGATCGAGAATATATTACGCGAGGATCCTAGATCGGTGTATCTCAGACAGAGATGGGGTAGCCAATTTTATACTTTCCTGATTCATGATTTACACATCACTTGTAGATTCGACGATAACAGGGGTGTAATCACGGTTTTTCATGTTAGACACGCTGGTCGTATCTGCGAATGTGGGGAACCCGAATGGCAATGCTTGGGTCATTCGCCACCTCCGTTTTAATGTATGTGTGTTTAAAGTATGCGTCTATGTAACTAATAATTTTAGTTAATCGTACTTCTAGATTTGTCAATAATATTGTAAGAAATGTGCGTTCTTAATTTATACGATAGGGTGTATCATATTACATGCGTAATCATTCCGTAATTGATCTTTCCTTTTGCTACTCGAAAGGAAACTATGTATCGATATTGTTACGTGCAATATATTCTAAATAGTTTCTCGCAACTGACCAACTAACGATACGTTTTTTTAGACTATTTCAATATTCATTCTTCCGTGACTGTGTTTTATACGAAGCATTCGTGATTTTGTAAAGGATTTATATTCTTGTTGTGTTTTTTTGGACTCCAATCTGTCGTTCGAACAACATCCTAACACAGAGTACGTAGAAACTAGTCAAACTTTCCGTGAGTGTGTCAGGATTTATCTTTAAAAGATTCGATTCTTAGCCTTAAGAATGTTTACGAATTTTAGAAATATATACATGTTCCTTTTCTTCCTCTGATTATGGAATATTTATTATTGTACCTTTTACGATATTTTTGTCGTAATCATCGCATAGATTTTCTTGCGACGTAAAAGTTCCTATATACGTTTAGTCTCTGTAAACGATAGCGATGCAACTTATGTTACGTTTTTCGCACAAAAATAAAACACTCGTAAAGAATTCGTCTTTCATTGTTTTATAAAAGATCCTCACAACATCCTGAACATCCAAGTGAAACTCAAGTGTACATTCGTATCGTTGCATCTGCACCAGATGAAAACACCCACGGTTGAATGGGATGGAACATCACGTCCAAGATACCAAAATCATTGTAAGACTCGTGATTACATAATCTCTTCAGGGGCACGATCAATGGATTTTGGAGTAAATCGCTAAAATGTATATCAAGAATGAATAATATACAAATAAGTAACTGACGATGTAAAATAATTGTAGATCCGTGATCTTACTTGTACACCATTCCATGGGAAACGATGAGACCCCTATCATCGGCGCCAGACGCGAAAAGAGGATATCGTTTATGAAATGCAACACCACGTACACCTGTGCCATGTAAACGAAGGGTTTGATAGGGTTTCGTACTCAAGTCGAGATCGAACCAGAGCATCTTACGATCGTAAGTGCCTACTAAAACGTTATCGCCTCCTGTAAACGATTATTATGACGAGCATTAAAAATAAATAAAGAAGTGGGTCTACGTTCACAGGATATTTACCAGGATGTATTGCCATCGACGATATCCACTGCGAATTCGACAACAATTTCTTAATCATTTCTTGCTTCACCAAATCGTATATACGGACATTTCGTTGCGTCTGAAATTATTTTGTCTCGATTAACAGATCGAAACTTTGCGCTCCAACGTGTATTTAAGTTTTACTTACCGCTACAAATAAATAGGGCCTGATGGGATGGAACAAAACGCATTGTATCAAGCCTTTAGATCTAGTGAAGGGAAGTTGTGACCTTCGTTTCGATAATTGATTTATCAGAACAGATCTATTCTGACCATCTGGCATAACAGTGGCGAAGTAATCGCCTTTACCGTGCCATGTTACTTGTTTTACTTGTTTGAAGTGATTTAGAATGATCCTGATGCCCTGAGACCAATGATCGCCTTCAGCTTGCTCCCACTGAACGGCAGTTTTAACTCTGTCGCTTACTATAACGTCGCTCTGAGGTATTATTTCCAGTAATTGATCCGTTTTGCTGGTGATCAAGTGGTCTCCGATCCCAGGATTTATCAAGAGGACTTTCTTATCGGCGGCCACTGCTATGAGCGACAGAGACTGATTTGGACACCACGCCACAGACCTAATTATCCCACCACAGGAGACTGTTTTCACGCATCTGCCTGTCGCTACTTCCCATATCTTCAAATCCATGTCATCTCCACCAGAAGCAATATACTGACCCATTGGTTCCGTTGTGATACTTCTAACCATATCACTGTGGCCTTTGAAGACCATAGACATAGTCGTGGGAAACGGTTGTAAATCTTTTGGACTAGGTAGCTGAGGTACCAGTGCTTCAGGTTCTATCGTTAATCGCATTTTCAGTGCTCGTGGACACAAATACAAGTCCAGACACCTCTGGAATCTTTCTTTAATATACTTGGGATAAGCAGGAACCTCGCGAAGGGAGTTGTACTTTTGTGGAATGAAATGTAACTTCCGTTTCCACGGGGTCGTTTGTAATTTATTCCACTCTTTCAGTTCCTTCTGGTCGAACAGGTACTCTGGTGGAGGATTGTAGCTTTCCGCGTGTCCAGGTAAATGTCTCTTAGGCGCTGGGATGTGCTTGTGAATCCTACGCATCTCTTCTGCTTGATCATCCGACTGCCATAACATGTAGAACTGTGGTTCGTTGTTTTTCTGTTGTCGTTCCTTCTCTATTTCAGCGGTAGACTTTATCCAACCCATCTTAAGCGCGTGAACTAACTTTGATACTTTTTTAGCCTCTGGTTTAGATGGTAAAAAGGATCGTTTGTGTTCAGGAAATTTACGTAAAGGCATTTTCATTACTTCAGAAGTAAACCATTCTATCCATGGCTGTAACAAAAGGTACAGAGTTAATACAGGTAAAGTTTTTTGAATAAGATTTATAATAAATATGAAACTTACAGCGTATTCGTTGAAAGTTGCATCGGGAATTTTCTGTTTCTGAATCCTTGTAATTAATTCTATATCAGCTTCGCTTAACACGACGTCCTGTCCAGTTTGGGGGTCCTTTATGGTTCTCCAAAAGTCAGGATCTTCCATTCTTTTCAAGAAGTTATCCAACTGATCGCCTTTCTGAGGTTTTATAATCTTTCTACCATCCCAATCGTAACCGATATG